ATAGTGAGGAAATTAAGAGAATTGCCTTATGTTCAATGTGTTCAACAGTTGAGCCACCGAAAAATAAAATTCAAAAAACTATACTTTCTTTGTTTAAACCACTTTTAGAACAGTCGCCTGCAGCTAAGTCTATAAATGAAAAAAATGCCAAAGAAGAAACAAGTAAGATCACGGCAAATCCTCGTAAAGTATCAGTATCGACAGTAGAAACTTGGAAGTCGGAGCTCGCTGAGTATTCACTTAGCGAATGGCTATTTTATGACATTGATTCAAATGAAAGAGTAAAAAACTTAAAATGCAAGTTTTGTACAGAGTTTAATGATACAATAAAAACTATGCCATACTATACGAATACATCATAGTTGGATCAGCAAACTATAGAAAATCGAATATTCTTGATCATTGTAAGTCTCAACCGCACTAAAAGCATACACTCTTTTTCTTAAAAAATCTAATAATTTTCAAAATGCATCTAAACCTTTATTGCCCTGTAAAAATAACGCAACAATCACTGATGGTTTGAAAAAATGGAAAAAAACGACCTTGAAAAAAACCCTTAAAAAATTTCAACTTTCTTACTTATAGCGAAACAACAGTTACCCTCTTTCAAAGTTTGTTCCAATTGTTAAATTAGTTGAGCTTTTCGGTGTGAATATGGGCGAATCCTATATTTCAGATCGCCAATGCGTTGTATTTATTGACTATATTGCAAGAAGTCTGCAAAATTCGTTACACCGATAGCCTTAGAAATGCTAAATTTTATAGTGTATTGTGTGATGGTTCAACAGACAGTTCGGTAATTGAAAATGAAGTGGTGTATGCATTATATTTTGATCCACAGCCAGTTGGGTCGGATGCGGTTGAAATCAGGACTTCGTTTTTAGATATAAAATATTTAGAATCTGGAAAAGCCCAAGGTGTTGTAAAAGTTTTAGAAGAATGCTTTGTAAATTTGTTAACACCTATTAAATGCATTGGTTTTACTTCAGATGGGGCTGCACTAAATAGAGGCAATCAAAGTAGTGTGAAAACCATTCTAAGCGAAAGAAGTCCGTGGCTTGTGTTTGTTTGGTGTGTTGCACACCGCTTAGAATTAGCAATTGCAGATGCTTTAAAAGATACAGAATTCGATCTTGTAGATGAAATTATATTACGAAGTTATTGCCTGTACCAAAAAGCACCAAAAAAGCTCCGACAGCTTCGCGAGTTATATACTGTTTTAAAAGACGGGATGGATACGCTTGATGAAAGTTGCAAGCCTAAAAAAGCATCTGGAACACGATGGATTTCTTATAAAGTTAATGCCATGAAGTCTTTCCTTGACAAATGGGGTTTATACATTACCCATCTTGAACAATTAGCTGAAGACCCATCGATTTTAGCTCCTGACAAAGCTAAAATGAAAGGGTATCTCCTAAAATGGAAAAAAAGGAAAAATACCACTTCTATTTGCATTTTTTATCGATTTACTCGAAATTCCCTCAATACTTTCAATGTCTTTTCAGGATGATCAAGTTGATCACGTTCAAGTAATGAACTGTCTTACAAAAGCAAAGGAAAGATGGTATTATTTGAGAAAAAAAGTCTCGAAAATTTGCCTAGAGTTAAAGATTTTCTTTCACAAATCAAAAAAAAAAACGGCAAACATTATTATCATGACATTGAACTTAAAGACTTTGAGCGTGAGTTTAAAATTTTTAAAACAAAAACTGTGGAGTATTTAACAGTAGTCAGGGACTGCATTATACAACGTGTAGAAAACGAAAAAGAAAGTACTCTTATTTTAAAGTATGCATCCCAAGTATTAAATTGCAACGGCTGGCTTCGGGAGGTTATAGCTGAAAGCGGAATCATAACGCGAAATTTAGATTTTGCCGATGAAGCTTTAAATTATATATGCAAACACTTTCAAGAGCCTTTACGCTCTGCTGCTGTTGTTTTTCCAGACATCTTAACTCAATGGAAAGAAATGCTAAGTTATGCTCAAGAGTTTTTATCCCCAGTTGAAACGCAATACCGAATTACCTGGCGACGCATATTTGTATCACCTAGAAGTAAATCATGGACCTCTATTTTAACAGTTGCTGAGCTATTGTTTACTTTGCCAATTTCTAACGCTAAGCTGGAAAGAATGTTTTCAAAGATGAAAAGTGTCAAATCAAATTATCGAACCTCATTGACAGAATCTTGTGTTTCAAATATTTTGCGCATTTTGGAAGATGGTCCATTGCTGAAAGAATTCAATTTTCTTCCTGCAATTGAATTGTGGTGGAGTGATAAAGGAAGACGCCCCAAACCAAAAACCAACGGGAATTTATAAAGATCGGGTAAACAAAAAAAGAACAATTACTTCCCTTAGCGACAGTGAAAATGATAGTGGAGAGGATCTTGTGAAATCTCTTTTTGATGACAATTAAAAGAAAAACATATTTTAATTGTGTAAAAATCTTTAAGCTTTAAAATAAATACAAAATACTGGTCTTGCTTTTATAATCAAACATATTCCTGACGAGAAAAGTTCGTTTATGTATAGACATTACGTTTGCACAATAAATAGCGTTAAATAGAGATAGTTAATACCAATACTCTAAAGTAAAAATGGTTAGCGCGATAGCAAACACAACTATTTATTATTATTATTTTATTAAAAACTGTTTTTATTCTTTTAGAAATGTTGTCGTTTTTTTCCAAAAAAGTCACAAGTTTTTAACTTGTAAGTCTAAACATGAAAGTATAACACGTTTTTTTTTTTATACTTTCATAATCTAATTAACACCGCAATACTAATGACTAAGGGTGCACTGTTGCATCGGTCTTGGCAACCATCGGCCGATGCCGATTGTTTTGAAAAATAAGTCTTTTTAATTTTGTGTTTCTATATTTTATAAAAAAATATAATTATTATATTTTTTTATACTATATAGAAACAAAAAAATAAAAAAAATTGACTTTTTTAAACAATTGGCATCGGCCGATGCATCGGTGCACCCCTACTAATGACCGCACATACCAGTAGTAAATAATAAATCGGATATTAGTTTTATAGTAAAAATATTTTTTGTTGAAATTTATCGGTCATGTCCGACAAACCAAACAATTTATCGGACAAACTGTCCGGAACAAAAAAGTACGTTATTTCGAGCCCTGTATATATATATACATATAAATATTTATATACATATACATATATATATATACATTTATTAAAGTTTAATAAATGTATATATATATATGTATATATATGTATATATAAATATTTATATGTATATATAAATGATTTATATATATATATATATATATATATATATATATATATATATATATATATATATATATATACATATATATATATACATATAAATATTTATATATATACATATATATACATATATATATATATACATTTATTAAAATTTAATAAATGTATATATATATATATGTATATATATAAATATTTATATGATATTTATATAGTATAATGATTTATATATATATATATATATATATATATATGTATATATATATATATATATATATATATATATAAAAATATGTATATATATATATATACATATATATATATATATATATATATATATATAATATATATATATATATATATATATATATATATATATATGTATATATATATATATATATAAATATGTATATATATATACATATATATATATATATATATATATATATATATATATATATATATATATATATATATATATATATATATATATATATATATATATATATATATATATATATATATATGTATATGAAGGGTGCAAGGGGAAAACCAGTGATGTCACGTTTTTTTCATTTTGAGAAAACGGAAAAATAAGGTTTGAAGACTTATATTACATGCTATGACCAGCTCCATATATATTTGTATAGTTTTTAAATTAGTACGATCTATTACTTGATATATTGGCATAAAATTTTGAAATGTGAATGTAAGTTATACATGCTGCATTGAATCTTGGATTCAGTGTCATTTTTGGACATCACTGGTTATCCCCTTGCAATTGGATTTTTTTTAATTTAGAAACCAAAGCAATGTTCAATTTTTTTAATAATACATTCAAATGCATGACTGTTATGTTTAATTTTAAATTTTTTTAATTCAAATAATAAGCACTGTCAGGGAAAGCAAGAAGGTGCAAAAAAAAAAAAAAAAAACTCCAAAAGGGATTTATTATCACATACCGCCTATAAGTTGTTGTATAAGCTTTTCTGTAATATTATGTTTAAAAAAAAATATGTATTAAATTTATTTGGTTAATCCATATTTCAACAACTTTCCACCCCTAGTCTAAAATAATGAATTATCTAACACAATTTTGCTTTTAAAAAAAATGTACGTTAAAGAGTGTAAAAGAATTCGATTTTATTTTAAGATTTATAATACAAAAATGATTACTGTTGAAAAATCAAGTCTTTTTTAATATATTTTTAAAAATATACTACTATGTTTAAAATAATATAGTAATAAATATTATGTAAAAAACAAAATTTAGTATGACTTCAAAATAAATTTATCTTTTTCCTTTAATCACTAACTGTTACAGTAATTTAAATTGACTCATATTCAGACAATTCTGATACTAATTCATCATCACTTAACTGACCTTTGTAAGGCAGGTCGTTAAAAAACTGCTGGACCTCTGGCATGCAAAAATATTTTAGAACTTGAAGGTCCGCATACTTGGCACAGCTGATCGGCAATCTCTCGTTGTACAAATGTGTGAGGGGTTTTCGCAATAACTGCTTCTTTTTTCCTATAGCTTTTGTTATGGCAACTCTTTCAAAAGGTCCATTCCAATTAAATCTGTATTGTAACACAGTAGGAAAATCTTGAGAGAAAATTATTTCACGTATAGGACGTGTTGGTATTGGACATTTAACTTTGTAAAATTGTTTCACATGATCAGAAAAATTAAAGAACATTTTCAGTTCCATCTTGATAATTTTAAATGGCGAAGGTTTCTCACGACAGGTATGATATTCTTCCATCCAATTTACTGGTAGCTCTGCTCGAACCTTCTGATTAACTAACACCATATCTCGGTCACACTCCATGTAGCTGTGGCCTCTTATTGGGAAAGATATCTTTATTTCGTGAAAACCGTTTTTTATTCACAACATTGAAGTGCAAAAAACGAATAACAGTCCAGTTCTTATTTTGCCCAGCACAGGAATCACAAAAAAGCTGCAAATGAGATACATCTTTTGGTATAATGTCTTCAAAATAGTACTCCAGCATACTCGCTACATAGTCCGCTCCTTTTTGCCCATAAGTTTCATCGTAACAAAACAAGTGAACACAATTTGACCCTAAGCAGTGTATATTAAATGTGTACATAGAGAGCTGTCTACGATAATAAACATCATTTGTAGAAACATTAGGACAACTCATATTCTTCGCAAAGTCAAAAGCAAGAGCTACATGACCAATTTTTAAATTACTACGTGCTTCTCTCTTTCTGGTATAAAACATTTCTGCTTTTCGCAAATGAAGTTCTTTTTCGTGACTAGCTTTGATGATCTGATGATCTGCAGCAGTGTCTTGATTTTCAAGTATAATATTGAGCTTGTCGCATGTTGAGCAAGTATCTTTACGAGGATAACCAAAGCTGATGTTAAATTTTTCTGCAAATATTTTCCTGATAAGAAAAGTAGACAATTCGATAATATGAAATAAAACTCATAAATAAGCAAATAAATGTTATCAAAGTACCTGTAGCTTTCACGACAAACTTTATTTTGTGGGAAAACGCTCTTTGTACATATTATACATTTTCGATAAATTAAGATCCTCTGGCAAATACAACTTTCTAGTTTCATGCAAAGCATAATGACTTTGGCGTCCTTTAAAAGATTTGATATGATCAATGATACTATTTACAGTATTCTCTGAAAAGGCGAGAGGTCGATTTGTATGTTTTCCTTGCTGGTTTAAAGGAAGAACTCCTTAAAAAAGTCAAATGTACAAGCTTATTATGTTTCTATGTTTTAACTTGATTAAATCAAATTTTATCATAATTTATAGGGGCTTAAATTCAGACAAAGTCTTTTCTTTTATAAAAGATAAATTTGTGTGTGTATTATTTATTCAAATGAATAATTAGTACTTAATACTGCATGTTAATAATGTTTATTTATTTTTACTAACCTGTCTTAACAAGAGATCCTCTTATTCTTTCTATTCTTGATTTTCCAATGCCAAATATTGATAAGATAGCATTGATACAAACTGGAACTCTTACGATATTATTACCTCGTGCCACTTTGATATAATAAGAGAATGAATGATCACGAAGAAACCTTTTTTCTTCTTTTTTCCGAGGTCTTCTTCGTTTAATACTTAAAACCTTAATCATTGAAGCAAGAAAACTGTCTTGATGATCTTTATTTTGCATTTTATTAAAGTACAACAGTAAAAACTCCCTTTCTTCAACTGTCGTTTCTTCAAAACACTTATACCGTTTGCAATGACACGGAAAACCAATAACATGTGATGATATTCGTTCATTTCTATTTCTTTCCCACTTTCGACCATGTTTTTTTTTCTTTTTTGGAATTTCTGATATATCAGGATACTGACATTTGTCCGCCATTTCAGCAAATATAAGAGTATAATGTTTTTGGCGAAAACAAATCCGATTGGCTGAAAAGTAGCAAAATTCCTATTCTGCGCAAAGGGTTTTGGACATCTCCGGTTTACCCCTTGAACAATTTGGACATCTCTGGTTTACCCCTTGCGACCCCTTTTTTCACATAAAAATTTAGGTGTGATTTAACTTTTTTTTTTTCATGTCCATTTGTGTAAAGATGCAGAAACTTATCTTTAACATAGCTGGGATAATAACTCAAAAAATGTTAAAATGTGACATCACTGGTTTTCCCCTTGCACCCTTCATATATATGCATATATATATATACATATAAATATTTATATATATATATACATATATATATATATACATTTATTAAAGTTTAATAAATGTATATATATATATGTATATATATGTATATATATAAATATTTATATGTATATATAAATGATTTATATATATATATATATATATATATATATATATATATATATATATATATATATATATATATATATATATATATATATATATATATATATACATATATATATATACATATTAATATTATATATATATACATATATATACATATATATATATATACATTTATTAAAATTTAATAAATGTATATATATATATATATGTATATATATAAATATTTATATGTATATATAAATGATTTATATATATATATATATATATATATATATATATATATATATATATATATATATATATATATATATATATATATATATATATATATATATATATATGTATATATATATTCATATATATATATATATATATATATATATATATATATATATATATATATATATATATATATATATATATATATATATATATATATATATATATCTATATATATATATCATATATATATATATATATATATATATGTTTGATGCATTTATGGTGAGTGATATTTATTGGTGATTAATAAACAAAACAAAAAAAACTTGTGTTCTTTTGTTATTGCATGCATCTAGGTTAAATAAAAATGGCAGTTAATGGTAAAAATAATACATAAAAATAATAAAATAAAAGGTTAGTAGCTTTCATAGCTAATATAACACAGGCTTCTTGTTGATTAAATTCTTGAAACAGAAACTTGCCTATTTTTGATTTGTTGCCATTGATTTTTGAAGAAAAATCTTTAAAAGCGCAAGAGAAAAACGGTAAAAACACAGACTAGTAGGTTGAAATGAATTTCCCCTATATTCGGTCGAAAATCAAATTATAGCAAATTGGTTGAAATTAAAAGTCTGTGAAATAGGTTGAGAAAAAAATCGGTCGAAATAGAAAACGTCATAAATCGGTCGAATTAAAAAAGGCCTATAATCGGTTGAAAACATTTAGGCCTCAGTAGAACATATAAAAATTATAGGTGCAGGATTTTGTAGGTTGAAATATGTGACACGGATTTGGCGGGTTTTTTGCGAATATTCTTTTTTTTTCCGCACAAAGATGTTTGAGAACATTCGAAATTATGTATGTTTACATGTAAGTCCGTAAAACAAAATCATAAAATAATAAATTTTTTTGCGGACAAACAAGGAAACATACATTAACTTAAATGTTCTCAAAATGACTAAAAAATCTGGCCTAAATATTATTTCCGTGGTATATATATATATATATATATACATATCAATATACTATTGATATTGTATATATTATATATACACTACTATTATATATATATATATATATATATATATATATATATATATATATATATATATATATATATATATATATATATATACATATCAATATACTATTGATATTGTATATATTATATATACACTACTATTATATATATATATATATATATATATATATATATATATATATATATATATATATATATATATATATATATATATATATATATATATATATATATATATACAATATCAATATACTATTGATATTGTATATATTATATATATACTACTATTGATATTGTATATTATATATTGATTTTGTATATTGTATATATTATATATATACTAATTTTGTATATTGTATATATTATATATATACTACTATTAATATTGTATTTTGTGATACGATTTGCATATGAGTTCATTTACTTGAAAAAGTTAATTACTTTTTTGTATTAACTCATCATCAACTATGTTCCCTTATATGTATCTTTTTTATTTGCCTCTAGTGTTACTTGTTACAGGAACAACTGACCTTTGCATTCTAATAGCATTTGACTGATAACCAAATTGATAAACGTTTGGATTTTCGTTTCTGCGACTCATACTTTGGTGTCGTCCAAAATGTTCTTCAACAACATCTTGGTTAAACTTCAATAACTTATTTGGAGGTGGTCTTCAAACCTTCAAATTTTTGTGATGATATAAACATTTTCTCGTTTTCACTATCGGATAAAATTTATATACATGACACTGTATGTAACAGCAAATCATGAGAACTTATGTTTCTAATACCATCACATTTGTCATAAGATTAAAGTTCTTGCAAAAGCAAACAAATTGTTATATTTTTTAGTAATCTTGAATGTAATGTGTATAGTTCAGTGCAGATTGGTAAAAACCAACTAAAAAACAATGCATGAATAATCTAAACTTGTGTCAACAAACACTTCACTTTGATAATAAAAACAGATTTTCCATGTGCTTAAACAGAACTGCTTCATTAAAAATAATTTCCCATTCATTCAACTTTATCTTTCGAATACGGATTTTAATTTTTTCAAAAGTATTGTATACAGGGTTGTTGGCATTTTTATTTATTGTTGTTATATCTTTAACTATATTTAAGTGCCTTCTTTCAGAAGGTTTAGTAGTTGGATATGATTTAACAGGTAAATTTAAGGTAGGCACAACACCAAGTCTTGATGTTTTTCTTTCAGTCTCTAAAAAGAGACAACAGTACAGGTAAGTTTTTTGCACAAGTAATTTTAACTCAATAGTGAAAATGACTAATTGTCATTTACACCATTGAGTTAAAAATAATTGAGTTTTACACCATTGAGTTATAAATGCCTTGGCTATTTGGTTTATAAATTAGAATGAAAAAAAATAAAACAATAGCTTCCAGACCAGGGTATATTTCTATAGACTATGATATTATGAACTTATGAATGTATACTTGTAAAGTTTATATGTTTTCTGCTTACAAGTATGCGCGCGAATGTTGTTTACAAAAAGGTGTGAAGTTGCACGGAAAGTCATCTATCACGGCGGACGAGTATTTTAGGCACTTCTCTTTAGTTAGTCCGAAAAAGTCTCATACAAAACGAATAATGTTAAAAACTACACTCTAACCAAACGCAAACCATGATTCTAAACGCGCTCGTTTTTTTACACACTTACAAAAGGGGGTGCCTGATATACAAATATATAT